GAAATCAACCCAAACATCTACAGCCAACTTATATTTGATCAAGGATCTAAAACCAATTCCTGGAGCAAGGACAGTCTATTCAATAAGTGGTGCTGGGAAAACTGGATTTCCACGTGCAGAAGCATGAAGCAAGACCCCTACCTTACACCTTACACAAAAATCCAATCAACATGGATTAAAGACCTAAATCTATGACCTGACACCATCAAATTATTAGAGAACATTGGAGAAACCCTTCAAGATATTGGCACAGGCAAAGAGTTTCTGGAAAAGACCCGGGAGGCACAGGCAGTCAAAGCCAAAATCAACTATTGGGATTGCATCAAATTGAGAAGTTTCTGTACTGCAAAAGAAACAGTCAGGCGAGTGAAGAGACAACCGACAGAATGGGAAAAAATATTTGCAAACTATGCAACTGATAAAGGGTTAATAACAAGAATCTACAAAGAGATCAACAAACTCCACAAAAACAAAACCAACAACCCAATTAAGAGATGGGCCAAGGACCTCGATAGACATTTTTCAAAAGAGGAAATCCAAATGGCCAACAGGCCCATGAAAAAATGTTCAAGATCACTGGCAATCAGGGAAATACAAATCAAAACCACAATGAGGTTTCACCTCACCCCGGTTGGAATGGCTCACATACAGAAATCTACCAACAACAGCTGCTGGCGAGGATGTGGGGAAAAAGGGACACTAACCCAATGTTGGTGGGAATGCAAACTGGTCAAGCTACTATGGAAGTCTGTCTGGAGATTCCTCAGAAACCTGAAGATAACCCTACCATTCGACCCAGCCGTCCCACTCCTTGGAATTTACCCAAAGGAAATTAAATTGGCAAACAAAAAAGCTGTCTGCACCTTAATGTTTATTGCAGCACAATTCACAATAGCCAAGACCTGGAACCCAACTGAATGTCCATCAATGGTAGACTGGAAAAGAAATTATGGGATATGTAGTCTTTAGAATACTATACCACAGTAAGAAACAATGAAATCCAGTCATTTGCAACAAAATGAAGGAATCTGGAACACATCATGCTGAGTGAAATAGGCCAGTCCCAAAGGGACAAATACCATATGTTCTCCCTGATCGGTGACAACTGACTGAACACCAAAAAGGAAACCTGTTGAAGTGAAATGGACACTATGAGAAACGGAGACTTGATCAGCATAGCCCTCACTGTTAATGAACAACTTATCCATCTTAGTAGTTTTTTTTTTGTCTGCTCTACTTAATATGACTGGTTTAATTCTGTAATTAATACACAGTTATTCTTAAGTGTTGAAATTTAACTGAAATGTGATCCCTGTTAAACATAAGAGTGGGAATAAGAGAGGGAAGAGATATACAATTTGGGACATGCTCAAGCTGACTTGCCCCAAATGGTAGAGTTAGAAACATACCAGGGGACTCCAATTCAATCCCATCAAGGTGGCATGTACCAATGCCATCTCACTAGTCCAAGTGATCAACTTCTGTTCACAATTGATCATAATGAAAGGACTAAGAGTCAAAGGGATCACATAAACAAGTCTAGTACCTGCTAATACTAACCAACATAATAAATAAAGGGGAGAGTGATCCAACGTGGAAAGCGAGATACTTAGCAGACTCATAGAATGGCGGATGTCCTAAACAGCACTCTGGCCTCAGAATCAGCCCTAAAGTCATTCCGATCTGGCTGAAAAGCCCATGAGAGTATTTCAGGCATGGAAAGCCAAGACACTCTGGCAAAAAAAAAAAAAAAAAAAAAAAAAAAAAACACTCAACCACGTAAATGAAAATGAAAGATCTCCACGAGTGAGATCCCAGTGGAAAGAACAGGTCTTCAAAGAAGGAGGTACCTTTCTCTGAAGGGAGGAGAGAACCTCCACTTTGACTATGACCTTGTCTAAACAAGATAAGAGTTGGAGAACTCAAAAGGCTTCCACAGCCTTGGAATCTCATGACTGGAGCATAGGGAGATTACTGATGCCATAAACAGGAGTGTCAATTTGTAAAGTCAACAACAGGAGTCACTGTGCACTTACTCCTCATGTAGGATCTCTGTCCTTAATGTGCTGTACATTGAGATTTAATGGTATAATGAGTACTCAAACAATATATTTCACTTTGTGTTTCTATGGTGGTGCAAACTGTTGAAATCTTTACTTAATGTATACTACACTGATCTTCTGTAAAAAAAAAAAAAAGAAAGAAATTATCAATTCCCAACTTGACTCTCACTGGGATTAAACATGACAATAGGTCTGATCTGATTTCATCATCATTTAAAAAATCATCTATTATTTTTCACTTTATGTTTCTGTGTGGGAGCAAACTGTTGAAATCTTTACTTAATGTATGCTAAACTGATCTTCTGTATATAAAGAGAATCAAAAGTGAAGCTTGATGTGAATGGAAGGGGAGAGGAAGTGGGAAAGGGGAGGGTTGCAGGTGGGAGGTACATTATGAGGGGGAAGCCATTATAATCCATAAGTCGTACTTTGGAAATTTATATTCATTTAAATAAATTTTAAAAAAGACAATGAGGACCATTAAATTATGTAAATTGAATAGATAAGCACTGGAAGACTTAAAAACTCTTCCTACTTCATCATGGTTTCAAGTATGAGGACTCAGAAACTTCTGTGTATCTAAAGATACTATTCATTAACTTCCTGTACCTCCTGGAGATGAAAGAAGAGAGAACACTGGTAAAGAATGATCTTAAATCTGTCATATCCTTTTAAATTCCAAATAAGTTGTCATTGAACGTCAGACAAGTGCAGTGACTTTTCATGTAAACTATGGTCATCATGTTCTCCATTGCACCTGGGTCTCTGAAAAACTTTATCGGGAGCTTCTCCCCACTGCTCTGCTCATCACATCAATGAGGCTGAGCTTAGTGGTCTGAAGTTTAGGAAAGAAATCACTCTGGAGCAGAAAGAAATCATCTATGAATCCAGGGAGACACAAAATTTTCACTGCCAGCCCTCCCATGTCAGACTCAGGATTTCTACTCCCCTAGGGTCAGACTCTGCCTCATGTGTCAAAGGAAAGAAAGGGCCACTTTGCAAGACTTTCACAGCCTCCTTGGAGATAATAACTATGAAGTTGTGATTGTTTTTGGTAATGAGTGAGAAGGGAAAAGTTTTCACAATCATTCTCAGTACCCCAATTTGCACTTTCACTGCAGCTGCTGGTGAATAGATAATTGCAGCTCTGCAGGGAGGTGAGTTCACAGGCACACACCCTTTGTAGTGGCTCTGCTGCCTCCATGCCACTGAGTTCTACCTGTGGGGACCTTCAGGCAGGTGCTTATCCCAGCAGCTGAAAGAAAATGGACAGAGATGCTTCAAGTGAGGAGGCTTATCAGGAGTCTGGGTGAGTGATCATGGGAGAAAGGGGATTTGTCTGTGTTTTCACCTGGTCCTGTGCCCAAGCCTCACAGAACAGAGGAAGAATTCTGAGATGTGTACTGAGCTAGCACAGGGAAGTGGGGTCCAACACTCTACGCCACTCCTTGGAATTTGGTGTTGTGCACAATGACATTGATTCTTGGTGTTTAATGAAAATAATCATGACATCTGGTGTTTAATGTACTTAAAGACTGTGCTTCCAAATAAATCTGCTGTTCAGTCTGTGGTACAGGGGAATTAGCAGAGACACACTAGTACTGTGACGTGGATTAGGACAAACCTACAGGGATCTTGATAACCTGGGCAGAAACAGGGAATCCCAATGGAAATTCCTGGATTATAAAGGATTTCTCTAACTGTTGTATGAGTTGCTTAATGGAGTATTGCTTGTTTCCTACTCAAAATATCCATAGTTACTTATTATGGAAAGATTCTCTTCCATCTTTAATAAGGGAAGCCTGTGAACGAAAGAGGTAGTGTTATCCTGGTGTGATTGGTTGCATATGGCAGCTTTCAGGTGCAAATGTGTCTCCTGAAATTCTCTGGACTGAAAATATTTTCATTTCAACTGGAAGCTCCACAATTCCAAATGATAAAATGCACACCATCTGACCCTAGGGATCCGTGTGGTAGATGCTTCACACTTCTACGCCTTTCAAAGTTCTGGCTTTATGGGAAAAGCTTTCATGTAAGTATTAGTAAAGATATAAACTATTACATAAAAGTGGTAATATTCACTTTCTGCAATACACAATTTCACCACATACTGGTGTTTGTCCTGTAGTGTAGGGAACAATATATGATCTTGAATGTTATTTTTTTTCCTGGCATAAAAGCCAAATAGTGTTTCTATTTTCTTCTACAGTCAACTTTGATTTATGTACAGTTTTGCAAGGAGAAAGACCCTAGAAATTACACTACAATAAGGTTATCTGAACATTAATAAAACACCTCATGTTTAGACATTACTGATGTTGTCTAATGGAGTAAATCTATATGCATAAAGGTAAATGTGTAGAAACAATATGACAAATAAAGTCCAAGTAGTGTAAGGGAAATTGGTAAGGCATGAAAATAACTAAGAATATACATGTACACTTTAGAGAACACACCTAAGTAGCTATGTTAGAAAAGCACTGTGGTCAATTTAACTGTTTTTGTACAAGTCCAGCTGGCTCCACATTCCACATTACACATAAGAAATGAAGCTGACAACTAGATGAATCACTTGCCTGTATCATCCAGAATAATAATTCTTTAACCAGTGTAATAATTTATAAGTATAACAATTTTATAATCTGCTGCCTTCTCATGGATTTATGAAGAATAAATGTGTCTTTGTACCAGCAATTAGTTAAGTAGCCTTAAATACTAGTGATTCAACTCTTTGGAAGCATTTTCACAAAAGATATATATTAAGCAGTTATCTCTAAATGTGAATTGATATGGGAAGAAAATAATGTGAATAAAGAGCTGAATTTCAATTCATATTAGGACATGGAGCTCATACCTCATTTCTCATACAGGAATTTCAGGCTCAGAGGCAATAATCAGACATTGGGAACTGGTGGGATGGCCACAGGAGATTTGATAATGGGGGTGATCTTCTTATCACAAACAATTACAGGAATCCTGGGGAATCTCTCTCTTCTTTCCCATTATTTCTACCTCTATCTCACCAGATGCAAGTTTAGGCCCACAGACTTGATCATCAAACACCTGACTGTAGCCAACTGGTTAGTCATTCTCTCTGTAGGAGTTCCCCAAATGATAGCAGCTTCGGGGATGAAGCATTTCCTCAGTGATATTGGGTGCAAACTTGTGTTCTATGTGCACAGAGTGAGCAGGGATGTGACCACCTGCAACACCTGCCTCCTGAGTATCTCCCAGGCCATCACCATCAGTCCTGAGAACCCCAGGTGGGCAGAATTTAAAGCAAAGGCTCCCAAATACATTGGCCCTTTCATTATACTCTTCTGGATAGTCAACATGATATTGAATATCCTGGTACCTCTGTACGTATATGAGAGAACAACCAACAAAAATGTCACAGAGAAAGTTGATCATGTGTACTGTGTCTCTGTGAATCCTGGAGAATTCATAGAGTTTCTGTATGCAGCTGTAGTATTTTTCCAAAATGTTCTTTTTGTGGGCTTCATGCTGGGTTCCAGCAGCTACATGGTTTTCACCCTGTACAGACACAAGCAGCAGGTCCAATACATCCATAGGACCAACGTCTCCTCCAGGTCCTCCCCAGAATCCAGAGCCACACACAGCATCCTCAGTCCTGGTGAGCACCTTTGTGTCTTTTTGCATTTTCTCCTCCATCCTTCACATTTGCTTGACTGTTTTAAACAATCACAGTTTGTGGCTGGTAAACATCGCTGCACTGATCACTGGCAGTTTCTCAACTGTGAGCCCCTACGTTCTCATGAGCCATGACTCCAGACTGCCCAGGCTCTGCTGTGTCCCCACAAGGAATACAGAATCCTCTACTTAGCAAGAACATGTATATTGTACAGATATTCAAAATGGTTAGTTCTTCAATGGTTTTAAAATTTATGTAATCATATATATATATACATATACATACATATATATATATATGTATACTTGAGAGACAGAGACAGAACTAGCCATGATGTGATTCTCTCTCCAAATATCTAACTTGGCTCTGGATCAGGGCCAAAGCTGAGAGCCAAGAAATTAAAGATTTGAGCCATCACTGCTGGCTGCCAGGGTCTGTGTTAGCTGGGTGCTGTAATCAGGATCAGAGCTTTGTATCAAACCCAGGGACTGTGATTTGGACATAATAGTCTTCCCTGGCCTCTTAACTACTGAACCAAATGCCTACCCCCACCATGTGAGTTCTTTGTTCGTCAATGCTTCTGAAAGTTTAAACATGTTTGTGGAAACAGTCCCTGTACCAGTGTGTGATCAACAAGACAGCCTGAATTTTTGCTCTAAATTAAGGAATAAACTGGTAAATTATTATAAATTAATTACTGTGTAATTATCACATTAATTCCTATATTATGGAAATGTTATTCGTGTTCCCAGCTCTGCAGAGAAATGTGGAGAGTATGGAGACTTCATGGGTGTCACCTAAATCTGATATAATTAATTTGTCTGAAATTAGCAAGTAATGGAAATGTAACACAAGCTCCACAAAGTGGGGCAACAGTTCATGTGTGCTCCAAAACACAGAAGATGAAGAAAGCCCCATGGAGCAATGAATGGCATGGCATTTAGTGGTGGGAAAATTCAGTTGCCCAGAGCAGTAGCCTTGAGAACCATAGATGAATCTTGTGTATCATTTCCAAGGGGTAAGAGTCCTTTGAAATCAGAGGCTATGAAGGAGATCACTTGCTTTGAACATCTTCACATACAAATGACGTTTGACTTGGAATAGGCACAGGGGAGCACAGATGTATATTCTGCTTCTTATAAATGACACCAAGTCTGTATTGTCTATGAACAGAGCTCACTGTCTATGATATCATGGCATGGAGGTGAGATGTGTTGAGGGAGCGTTTGTATCTTTAAGTGAAGAGGTAAGTTGGGCATGTAGGCAAGAGAAAGGTTGCATGGTGCACTTCCTCAATTCATAGGTGAGGAAATAATTCTATTGCAGAGCCTTCCATTAACCTTGATGATGTGAAGGAATAGTCACTGAGAGCCATTCTCTCTTTCTCTCTCTCTCTCGCTCTCTCTCTCTTTGTGTGTTTATGTGTGTGTGTGTATGTGATTTACAGGTTACAGACATTATTTGTATTTCAATGTGTTTCTATATGCACACATATAGACATATAAAATCAAATTATATGTTTTCTATGAAGTAATAATATTGGAAAATTATAAACAGAAAATCCAAAGCAATGCTAATAAGAATGAAAGAAGTTGTGTTAACCTCACAGTCCATTTAATCTGATGTGCGTGTCCCTGTGTGTAGGATACTACAGAAAACAAACCCTGGCTGTAAGGTCAGTGACAACTAAAGGCCCAGGTCATAGCAGAGAGCTGGATGAGAAGAGGAGCAGACAGGACTAGAACCAGCACCCATATGGGATGCTGGCACTTCAAGCCAGGCTTTTAACCCACTGTGTCATAGCCCCAGCACCCAATCAGTCAACTTTTTTTTTAATTTATTTGACAGATAGAGTTAGACAGTAAGAGAGAGAGACAGAGAGAAAGGTCTTCCTTCAGTTGGTTCACCCCCAAATGGCCACTACGGCCAGAGCTACACCAATCTGAAGCCAGGAACCAGGTGCTCCTCCTGGTCTCCCACATGGGTGCAGGCACTCAAGCATTTGGGCCATCCTCCACTGCCAGTCAACTTTTAAAACCTATAGTAAACATTTCCAATGTCGACACAGCATCGTGAAATTCACTTTCTATTTAAATTTCACAAGATCCTCTGTGCAACACCTGGCTCTCAAACCAGAACGTGGTCAGCCCTTCTCAGCAGAGTGCCACATTCCTTGGGAAACATGAGTATATTCAACTTTCAATATCTATTTTGTATTATAATTGAAATAATGCAGAAATAATTGTTTGGACTTTTTTATTTCTGTGTCCTTTGAGACTTTATACATACTGTTTCATGTTGTTAATTACTCATTGTCTTTAGTACAGAAGATTCCACTGTGTGAATAGCCAACAACTAATTTAGCTGGTCTTGTCTGGTTTTCAGGTTGAGTCACTAGGAACAGTGCTGGGAGTAAATTTAGAATTCATCTGTTGTTGAACGTGTATGAAGGTCTGTTGTTGTACTCATTGTAGGGGGATCATTGTGCCATAGATTTATCTCAGTTCAACTGAAACATCCTGCAAAATACTTCTGAAGTCTTTTCTATTCCTTGTAGCATTTTTAACCAACTTTCTGTTTTTCTGGCAAAAGTTATTTCTTCTTTTTAAAGATGTTTGAGGTAGCATTTTGAAATAATTATAGCTAAAGCCTTAAAGCCATGACTAAATAAAGAGTTCAATAAATAATCCACCAGCATTACATGACACTCTTAGTTTATCTAGAATCTGCGAACACTGAGGAATTTAAATCATTTAAATTTTAGCTCTTAATGGTGTATACATTCAGGAAGGGATTTTATTTTATCTTTTTTGTTACTAAGTAAATTATCTCTTCAGATGTAGAATAGAATTTGAGTATACATTTTTGAAAGCCTAGTTGGGTTTGTATTGTCTTTCTTTAGCTCTTGGTTTATTGGCATACTATAGTATTTTTTAACTTTTATTTAATAAATATAAATTTCCAAAAGACAGCTTTTGGATTACAGTGGCTTTACCCCCCATAACTTACCTCTCACCTGCAACCCTCCCATCTCCTGCTCCCTCTCCCATCCCATTCACATCAAGATTCATTTTCAATTATCTTTATATACAGAAGATCAATTTAATTTATATTAAGTAAAGATTTCAAAAGTTTGCACCCACACAGAAACACAAAGTGTAAAGTACTGTTTGATTACTAGTTACACCATTGATTCAGATAGTACAACACATTAAGGACAGAGATCCTATATGGGGGAGTAAGTGCACAGTGACTCCTGTTGTTGATTTCACAATTGACACTCTTGTTTATGGCATCAGTAAGCACCCTAGGCTCTTGTCATGAGTTGCCAAGGCTATGGAAGCATTTTGAGTACAGCAGCACTGATCTTATTTAGACAAAATCATAGTCAAAGTGGAAGTTCTCTCCTCCCTTCAGAGAAAGGTACCTCCTTCTTTGATGGCCCATTTTTCTACTGGGATCTCACTTGCAGAGATCTTTCATTTAGGTCTTTTTTTTGCCAGAGTGTCTTGGCTTTCCATGCCAGAAATAATCTCAAGGGTTTTTTTATCCAGATCCAAATGATTGAAGGGCTGATTCTGAGGCCAGAGTGTTGTTAAGGCCATCTGCCATTCTATGAGTCTGCTGTGCATCCTGCTTCCCATGTTGGATCGTCCTCTCCTTTTTTTTCTTTTTTTTTCTTTTTGACAGGCAAAGTGGACAGTGAGAGAGAGGGGGAGAGAGAGAGAGAAAGGTCTTCCTTTGCTGTTGGTTCACCCTCCAATACCTGCTGCAGCTGGTGCATTGCGCTGATCCAAAGCCAGGAGCCAGGTACTTCTCCTGGTCTCCCATGCTGGTTCAGGGCCCAAGCACTTGGGCCATCCTTCACTGCACTCCTGGGCCCATTAGTATTACCAGACACTAGTCTTGTTTATGGGATCCCTTTGACACTTAATCCTATCATTATGGTCAATTGTGAACTGAAACTGATCACTTTGACTAGTGAGATGGCCTTGGTGCACGTTGACTTGATCAGGTTGAATTGGAATTCCCAGGTGCGTTTCTAACTCTACCATGTGGGGCAAGTCTGATTGAGCATGTGCCAAACTGTACATCTCCTCCCACTCTTATTCCCACTCTTAGATTTAACAGGGATCACTTTTCAGTTAAATTTAAACACCTAAGAATAACTATGTGTTAATTAAAGAGTTCAACCAATAGTATTAAGTAGAACAACAACAACAACAACAACAAAAACTAAAAGGGATAAAGTATTAAGTTGTTCCTCACATTCCGGACAAGGGCTGATCAAGTCACTATTTCTTTGTAGGATATAATATTCTGGGCTGGCAGTTTTTTTCTCTTAGTACCTGGGCTATATCTTGCCATTCCCTCCTAGCCTGTAGGGTTTCTGATGAGAAGTCTGCTGTGAGTCTAATTGGAGATACTCTGAGAGGAATTTTAGAGCAAAATGTTTATAACTTTGAACCTTACAAAAGGATAGCACCTGTCATTTTCAAATTTCCTGTGACTGGCTACTACATTACTTCACCCACACTACTGTACCACAATTGGCCACACCCAGAAGACCCCTAACACACAACTGGTCATACCCAAACATCAGCATCTGGATGGTGACAACCAAAAAGATGAGCCTCTGATTGGTAAAACCCTAGAGCACATCGCCCACCTACTCTAGAAGGGAGATAAAAAGGCAAGCCTCACAACTACTCTTCATCCCCTCAGGGACCATGGCTCAGTGTGAGAGCTGGTCATGTGGTTCCACCTCATCTTGCTGAAACTATGCCCCAGTCTTTGCTGACCAAAACTCTGCTTGACATTCTGCTGGATCCAACCTTACCTGGACAACCCAGCCACCTCCAGAGCTGACATGGAAGCTGGACCGGTCTTCTCATTGGTGACTTTTCCAACCCTTCACCATCAAGCCTACTTCCCAGAGTGCCAGTCATCCTGAGACTACTGCCCATAAGTGACTGTTCTGAGATCCATCTCTCTGAGTGGTAACAGAGACTTAGGATGTTGGACTTTGACTTTCATGTCCATGTATGACCTTCATTGTAGTGATTCACATACTGTAAGTGGTCCTCTGACTTGTTCATTTAAGAGGTAGACACAGACACACAAAAAGCTCCCATCTGCTGTTCACTCCCCAAATGCCTGCATGTCCAGCTCCCATATGGCCTCCAGTTTGAGACCCAGCTGTTCCACTTCTGATCCAGCTCTCCGCTATGGCCAGGGAAAACAGTGGAAGATGGCCCAAGTCTTTGGGCCCCTGCACTCAGGTGGAAGACCCAGAAGAAGCTCCCAGCTCCTGGCTTTGGATCAGCACAGCTAGGCCATTGTATCCAAGATGGAAGACCTCTCTCTCTCTCTTTCTCTCTGACCCTCTTCCTTTCCTTCACTCTTTGTGTAACTCTGATTTTAACATAAATAAATAAATCTTTAAAAAATAAAAAGAACTGTGAACAGAAAAAAATCAAAAATTTGTAGAAGGTGAATTAAAAATAATTTTATTTTTCTGCAAAAATTTTTTGAAATCTATGCTTATGCAAAATCTTTAAAGAGTGCATATAAAATGTGTGTTATGGAAAACCATGCATGGATTTTCAGAATTTTTGCACCAGACTTATCTTGTAACTCTTTCTCAGTGAACCATTTGAAGGTACTCTCATATATCTAAGAGCAAATCAATTTTAAATTACATGGAATGTATTATTTTTTATTTTAGTCAGCATTTTAGCTGCATTTTTCTGTAAAATATCTAGTGGTATGCATTAAAAAAGAAGTTTGATTTTATTGAGAACTTACGGTTTTAACATGTTCAATGAGGTCATTGGTTGGCATAGTAAGATACAGCTATTACACTCCATGAGCCATTAACTTCACTTTTCAGAACCATCCAGATAACATCCACAAAAAAAAGTAAATTTCAGGGCCAGTGTTATGATGCTGTGAATTAGCCTTTCATCTGCACTTGCCACCATGCTGTGTTGGAATCCAGCTCTTGGCTAATGCAACTGGGAAAGCAGGAGATGACCCACCTGCTTGGGTCACTGCTGACTAGCTGAGAGACCACAATGAATTGCAGGTTCCTGACTTTGGCCTGGACCAACACCAGCCATTGTAGCACTTGGGGAGTGAACCAGCAGATGGCAAATTTTCTCTCCTCTCCCAACAGAAAATTCAGCCTTTCAAATAAGTAAGTAAATAAAAATTCTTTAAGAAAATAAGTAGAGACTCTGTGGTGCAGTGGGCTAAGTCTGTGCAGGGACAACAACCCATATGAGCACCTTCACCCCATTGCAAGTTCCAGGCCCCAGCTCCATGCTTCACCCTAACCTAGGCCTGCACTTTGAGGTCACCTGGAGAATAAACTAGTGATAGCAGCTTCAGTCCTCTGTAACGTGAACCCTGCATTTACGCTGAACAAATTTTTTATTCTTTCTTCAAGGCTCTGGAAACAGGTCGGGGTCATGGTCCAGAAGACTAAATCATTGCAACCCAACAAGATCCGAGTGACCAGGGGAAGAAAGAACAAGTACAGACGTAGCTTAAAAAAATAAACAAGTTTGAGACCTCTCTTAAAGACTTAAATTTTCATCAGGGCAACCTCGCATGCTGTTCAAGCAGTCACTGAATTTTGCAGGGTTGATGAGGGCACTCGTTCCACTCAGCAACTTAAGATGTGTTTCTCTGTTGTAAAATTGTTCCTATTCTTCCTGCTATCTTGACTTTAAGTGGCTCAGAGTGTCACATTTGAATCATGGAGGCAACACATTTTCAACAAAAGCCATTGATGAGTTATTTTATAAAAATCTCTTCTATAAATTCCCTAAGTACAGTGAATCCCTCAGGAATGACCCTAGGAACGGTGCATGGGCCCCATCCTTCAGGGTATCCCAGGTCTCAGGTTCGGGGCCAGGGTGCTCTCCCGTGGACCTCAGATGGACTAAGCAGGAAGGCTGTGGTGTTTCTGGGAAGGTGGACCCATGTGGAGCAGCTGCCATCCCAGGAGCCATGCGCTTGGCCTAACAGCGGGAGGCTTGGCTTCAGGTGCAGCACAGTGAGCAGCCCAGTACCCAGGGCGCAGTGCTTGGACAGAAGCTCTGTGCTTCCCAAAACCATCTGGGCCATTTCCCAGAGCACTAGGGGACAGGAGAGATGGCCACGGCGATGCCAGGAGCACGCGCACGGGTGGCAGGAGACCCTCCAGAAGGTTCCCAGCCCGGTCAGGGCCCCGCCGTCCTCATGACTTCCCGCTACCTTCGGGCTTGCTCACCGTGAGTGCGCATGCCTATGAGCAGGGCAGGGCCTCCGCGGGCTCACGTTACCTTCCAACATCTCCCAGCACCCCTTGCGGGCATTTCAGCCCTGAGGAGCTGGGTGCCATAAGACTGTGTCGCCAATGGCGGCATCCTCAGAGTCTGTTACTTGCAAGGTAATGGCTGTCCAGACCCGCACGGCCCCGAGCCGCAGGTGATTCTCGCACACTGACCAGGGCAGAGGCCGGGACGACTGCTTCAGGTTTTTAAAAGCCTCTTGTGGGTGTGCAGGTAGCGCGGGTTGTTGAAAGGGAGTGCCATTCTCAGGTGCGCCTGTTGGACCGAGGAATCCCCTGAACATGAGGAAACATGGATAGGAGTCGTGTTCCGTTCAAACGCACAGGTCGGTGATGTGAGCGACCTGCCTTCATTTTAATAACAAGCTTTCGTTCCTAGAGGGGCGTGAAGTCACGTTTGCCTTAGCAGCCTAGGTTGGCAGTAAATACAAGATTTTGGCAAAAATGAAAGCACTGCGTGGGATTCAGCTGTGTGCATGAAATATAGGATGCTCTGTGTGTGTGTGTGTGTGTGTGTGTGTATCTTTTTTAAAAAAGGATATTGGGCAGAAGTGATATAAAAATCAAAACACCTGTGAACCTTGGCAATACATTTATTGATAATAAACCATAGTTTTACGATGACTTTCAATAACAAAATGTATTTTTCCTTACATTGAGGCTACTCTGTTGCTTACTTGTGATCAAATAATAGTAATGCATGTATTATTTATCATGTGTCACTTATATTAACATACTTTACCTAATTTATTTAATCTCCTCAGTAACTCTGATCCTGGGTATTTTGTTGATGTCTCCTTTACAGATGAGCTGCGATACTTTACTCAAAGTGGAAGTCAGTGTTCAATCAACTTCAGAAAGTGTGTAGTTTCCTTTTCTAACACTTGGGAACCATTCATAGAGCATGCACTGTGGAAGAATTTGAATGAAATCACCAATAAAACCAAAATCCAGCCGGCGCCACGGTTCACTTGGCTAATCCTCCACCTGCGGCGCCGGCACCTCGGGTTCCAGTCCCGGTTGGGGCGCCGGGTACTAGTCCCAGTTGCTCCTCTTCCAGTTCAGGTCTCTGCTGTGGCCTGTGAGGGAAGTGGAAGATGGCCCAAGTGCTTGGGTCCCTGCACATGCATGGGATACCAGGAAGAAGCACCCAGCTCCTGGATTCGGATTGGCACAGCACTGGCCATAGCGGCCATTAGGGGAGTGAACAAACAGAAGGAAGACCTTTTTCTCTGTCACCCTCTCACTGTCTGTAACTCTCTGTCTCACTCTCTCACTGTCTGTAACTCTGCCTTAAAAAAATACACACAACAACAACAAAAAACAAATTCCTTCAGGAAAGAAATTTCCCCCCAGTGTATCAAAGCTAAGAATTTCCCACTAGAACTCTTCCTCCAAAATTCAAGGGTCCAGAGAGGGCACTTTTAAAAATAGACCTTTAACAACCGAATATGGGCCCTTTGCAAAGCTACACAAGTGCTAGTCTATTGTTCACACATACAGGTGGATTTCACAGCTTTCTATTGACAGTAGAGAGTAATATAATTTCCTCATGTTCAGTAAGCTTCTCACATAATTAGATCTATTTTTTTTTTATTTTTTGACAGACAGAGTGGGCAGTGAGAGAGAGAGACAGAGAGAAAGGTCTTCCTTTGCCACTGGTTCACCCTCCAATGGCCACCACGGCCGGCACATGGCGGCCGGTGCACCGCGCTGATCCGATGGCAAGAGCCAGGTACTTATCCCGGTCTCCCATGGGGTGCAGGGCCCAAGCACTTGTGCCATCCTCCACTGCACTCCCTGGCCACAGCAGAGAGCTGGCCTGGAAGAGGGGCAACTGGGACAGAATCTGGCACCCCGACTGGGACTAGAACCCAGTGTGCCGGTGCTGCAAGGCGGAGGATTAGCCTAGTGAGCCATGGCGCCGGCTTAGATCTAATTTTAAAAAGACTTTTCAGGACAGTTTCCTAAGTCCCAATTCAAGCAGGTCCATCTTACAACATTAAATAGGTGATGTCTTGTGTTGATCACCAGTGTTATTTTAGGCTCCACCATTTGCGTACTCATTGCAGCATTGAGTCACCAAGCGGAGCTCCACCCTGGTGCTTTCCCCATCTCAGCCTTTCAGTCATTTCCAAGTCCTGAAGACCTGAGGCCATCTTCTCTGTCCCAGAGTTGGGGTGGGGTGGGAGTTATCACTTTCAGTCACTGTCATCAGAGGAGGGAGAGACCAGAAGATCCTCATAGAGGACACTCCTTGTGACCTGGGAACCCTGCCTCTCAGACTCCTTTAAGATGTGAAAATTCTGATGAGCAGGTGTGGACTTCACCAGATTGGGTGCAGGAGGGGTTCTGGACCTGGTACTGTCCTGTTTCTTGGGGCCGATTCTCTGTGTCTTGTCTGGAACACGACTGGACAGTCAAGGTTGGAAGATTGTGCAATTCTGGCCTGGACTTGAGCAACATGAGTTGGGTGGAGGCTGTGGGTCAGAAATTGCTTCAGGACTGTTGTCTTTGCAGACCCTTTGGTTGCCTGAGAGTGCGCAGGTCCACTCATACTGGAGAGAGATTGGGAAACCAGGAGTCTTGGCTTCTTGGGGCAGTTCTGGCTGGTCTGGATGCAGTCCTGGGCAGACCTTTTGCCTGGGGCCTGGATGCTGAGTCTGGAGTTCTGGCCACACTTTTCTGTAACTGGCTGTGGATGCAACTTTGAATCCACCTCTGTATGTTTAATTTGTGCCTGTGGATTAGACCTGTGACCCAGGGTAGGTGTCTTCCAGGCAGGTTGAGGAATGTCACGAGAGAAAACATCAGGCACTTTGGCTGTTGGCTTGGCACTGCCAGCTGGGCCTGGGGTGAATTTCTTTAGAACATGGTGAGGGGAGTCAGCAAAGTTGACCCCAGATCCTTGGGCTGGGGCATCAGTGCTCAGCTGAGGTTTTTTTTTTTTTTTTTTTTTGAGACTGGGTAGCACAGCGTGATCTATAAGGTGTCTCAATAGGCGGTGGACCTGGCAGTGCAGAGCCAAGGGGCGACTTCCTCTTGGATATTTGGGCAGACAGTGGTTTTGTAGGATGCTGTGGCAAGAAAGTTCACATTAGACATCTCTGATAGATGAAGAACTCACATATTCAACCATACAAAATGGAAAATCAGCATGTTAGGAAAAAGTAAATTGATTACTAATATAAATATTAAGATAAAATAGCACATACAGGTAGCACATACAAGATTGCATCTAAATCAGGACCACAAAAGGGGACAGGACAGCCAATATAAAGAAACAGTACACATGAAATTAAATTTCACATAACTAAAACTCAAGTCATCCTGGCACATTTTCAGACATTCTCTACTCAGGTTAGTGAGGAGGAAAAAATATGACACCAGGCTGATTCTTGTGTGTGGCATATAGGACTAAAGTATCATTACCTTGTCTGTTGTTAAGATCAAGGGAGTAGCTGGCACTGTGGGATATGGTACTGGGTTGAAAAGGGCTGAACACATTCTGGTTTTCTATCCATGTGTTGCACAGAGAGTGTTGTGAAATTTAAATAGGAAGCGAATTCTACAAAGCTGTATCTGACTTTGAAAATGTTTCCTACAGGTTTTAAAGGTTGATTGCATGTTGGTAGACTACTGATGGAGCACCATCATATAGCTAAGGGGGAGTTAAATGCAGAATACAACTACATTGAGATGAGCTTTGGTATCTATCTTGGGCCAGTGCTGTGGCATAATGGATAAAGCCACCGCCTGCAGTCCCAGCAAGCCATATGGGCACCGGTTCACATCCAGGCTGCTCCACTTCTGATGCAGTTCTCTGATATTGCCTGGGAAAGCAGTGGAGGATGGCCCAAGTCCTTGGGCCCCTGCACCTGCATGGGAGACCAGAAAGAACCTCCTGTCACCTGGCGTCAGATTGCACAGCTTGTGGTTGCAGCCATCTGGGGAGTGAACCAGTGGATGGAAGAACTCCCTCCCACACTTCTCTTTATCTCTGTACCTCTGCCCCTCTGTGACTCTGCCTTTCAAATAAATAAAAAATCTTAAAAAAACACACATCAACGACCTAAGACTTTCTTTATACAATATGGAGAGTGTAAATGAAAAACATCTTTTTGAAAGGAAACTTGCAGTTAATAAAAACATAAAAGATGTCTTGGGTGGATACAAGACAGCACATGATCAAATCATTCATGGATGAATAAACATGCCTCCACTAGCATTCGCTGGCCAACTTGCAAATAGTGACATAAAAATGTTCAAATAAAGCAACTGGAACATGGAATACAGACAAATGTGACAGGACTTGTGTGGTCCAGCCCAGTTTTAACATAATTCCCAGCCATCAGGGAAAAAAATAAAGCAAAGGCCTCAGGAAAAACAGCCAGAAGTGGGAGTGGGACTCACCCTCAGATAGGCAAATGGTTCTGTTGCCACCACAGAGTTCTTCGGCTACTTCTGTGGCCTCCCCTGTGTTTCATGAGGTCCAGATTTCCCCTGCTGCCCTTCATGCCTGCAGAACAAATCCTATTATCTGTCTGAAGTAACTTTCCTTCCTATCTATACGAGGGACAGCAAACCAAACCAAGAGCACTCCCAGGGCCCCATGCTAGCCCTTGTTCAGGAGTGAGGCAGGCACTGATGCCCCTGTGAACTTGGTGCAGTGGTTCATTTCTTGTCTAGGAAGCCCCTCCACCCCCAGGATGTGCTGCGTTCCCTAGTGTGACTTCAGTGTTGTGCACTTTCATTTAGTCTGTGGCTGTTCTGGCTGCCAGGAGCAGCATTCCAAGGTATTCCACAGCCCTTCCCTTCAGTGGTTCTTAGAATAGGACGAGCTCGGTGTGCACCCCTGGAAGGTCTGGAGCACTTGTCTGTTTCTCTGCAGTTTTCTCTCTATGCCTAGAGACAGCTCCAGGGAAAGAAGAGGGGGTGGCACATTCTTCTTGGCCCCAAAGCTCAGGGCTCCTAAGTATTTTATAACAGCAGCCATCAGAATCTGACTTTGTACCTTGTATTCTAGAAGACACTTGTGGTAGACGTCATGAACTGTTAGTGCAGTAGTATGGATGTAAAATCACACCTGTTGAATGTAGGATGCTGAGCTCAAAGTAGAGCCGCCATTGTCACGTGCAGTATTTAATCCTCTGCACAGCACGCAGGCATGTGAGGCGGGCCCTGCTCCACGACGCTTCTCTGAAAGAGGACTAAGAGCAGCCACAGAATTGTAACCTCAAGAAAACTGTACGATTTGGAGTGCCTTACTTTTTAACCAGTTTCCAATAAAATGGTTTAATACACACACAAAAAAAAGGATTCTGCCTGCAGAATCCTTACCTTTGAGTTCCTTCCTCTTGTCTGTCAGTCTTCCTCAAGGGTTCTGCAGACTGAAGTTGGTGAGGATTCTTAGGTTTCAGGTTCTCTTTCTCCTGATTGCGACCCAAGGCCAGTAAGGGAAGGGCCCACCCCATGACTTCATGGGGCACCTCTTGCTTTTTTCCAAGTGCCCAAAGGCTCCATAGTTCTTGCATTTCACCTGTTTGTAGGGGACAGGGTTATTAGATGAGTGGGTACCAATCACAGGCATTTTGTAAGGTGAATATAAAGAAGATTGGGGAAATTAAATATTCCTTTGGTGGGAGGTCATAGACCCATGGCTTTTTATTTGCCAAGAAACTCAAGATATTATGATCCTCCCAGAGCCAATTTAATCCAGGGATCCAAGGAGGTAGAACTTTCATATCTAATGGAGATGACAGTGAACCAGAGTGTAGGTCTTGGGCCAGTACCAGGCTTACCATAACACTACAAAGGGACGGTGACTGTTCCTCACAGGCTCTGAATGGGCTCATCAGCCAGGTAAGCAGAACGCAAACCAGGCAAGCTTGACTAAGAAGGAATAACTGAATGATGGACACGCAGATTCCCGTGTTTAAACCCACTCTAAGGGGCCCATGAGGACCACTTTTTTCTCAAAAGTCCTAAGCCTCCACTTACCTTGCTGTACTGTCCATCTGGTGGGGAAGTCCTCTGGCACAGCAGTCTTCCTTGTAGGTTATTGTCATTAGGGGGCCTTAGAGGCTGATGACATACAGAATGACATGCTGTCTGATTCATAGCCTTGGGCTTCTGATTGGGCTTGCTCTTTAATTGAATATTAGATTTCCTATTCCAAAGAAATAAATTTGAAAATTCAAAATGTATGACACAAGTCCCTCATACGTCTGTTTGTCCCAGGAGAGATTGGAGTGACTTATTGAGTACTAACCCACACCCACCATAACTTGCTATCTGTGATAGATGCCCCATTCTCTCCTGTTTTGTGAACACCTTGTAGCATTTACCCACTGGCAAAAAGGACATTGCCTAAGAAAAGACCACTTAATAAGAAAGGTTTCTAATAGATGGTGATCCTGAATTTGCAACCCTACACAATTGTATTTTTGGTTCTGAGTTTATGTCTAGTCTCTTCCTCCAGAATTAAAGCCCCCAACAGTACTTATCAAAGCCAATAGAGGGTTAGCCAACAACTGCTTATTCAGATAAAAAAAAAAAACTCTATTTTTACATAGTAACTTCTTACCGAAAAAGCCAGCAGAATGCTCTAAGATTTGATATTTCACCTTGTCAAAACCAAATGAAGGCAGGCGCTGCAGCTCAATAGGCTAATCCTCTGCCTGAGGTGCCAGCACCCCGGGTTCTAGTCCCAGTCAGGGTGCAGATTCTGACTCCGGTTTCTCCTCTTCCAGTCCTGCTCTCTGCTGTGGCCCAAATCCTTGGGCCCTGCACCCGCATGGGAGACCAGGAGAAGCACCTGGCTCCTGGCTTCAGATCAGTGGGCTGCGCCGGCCACAGCACACCAGCCACAGTGACTTTTAGGGGGTGAATCAATGGAAAAGGAAGACCTTTCTCTCTCTCTCTCTCTCACTGTCCACTCTGCCTGTCAAAAAAAATGAATTCTCTCAAGTTAACTAAGGGCAAAAGTAAGTTAGATTCTGGGTGACAGTAAGCAAATTGAGACAGTCACACGCACTATTCTTGGAAATAGAATGAAAATCGATAAGTAAATGCTTGAACTTTATATAATACTTGCTTCTGAAAAGCTGAATTTGACAAATTGATGCAGTCTGTGATCAAACAGTCAAACTGAACAATTCCCAACAGTGCATGTGCATAAGCCAATCAGAACTGAGCAAGCTTAAATCCTTCCCTTGGATTAAACAGAACTCACTGAGACCCTAGCTGCTTCCTAGATGCTCCATCTCTGATCCTTCTCCTTGCTAGTCTGTGTGGGAAAGCACCAGAAGATGCCTCAAGTATGTGGACCCCTGCCCCTACATGAGAGACCTGCATGAAGTTCCAGGCTCCTGGTTTCTGATGGCCTTTGCATCTATTTGAGCAGTGAACCAGCAGATGGAATCAACCAATCAGTCTGTGTGTGTGTGTGTGTGTGTGTGTATGTGTGTTGGTGTGTCCATCTCTCTGTAGTTCTGTATTTCAAACAAGTAAATCTCCAAGGAAAACCTTTGTGGGGCAACTGCAGTGTTTCAACACATGCCTACAGCAGTGAGCACTTATACTTTCTTTATTCCACAGCCAACAATGAACTTACTGGTGACCTCGAAATAGTACCAACGGGTGAAGGAACAGGGTCTTGCTTTGTTTCCATTCTCTTCATACTATTTGTTGACTCTTTTACTTAGAGCAGGGTTCACTCTCTGATCACTAAGTTTACTGACAATAGATCACTGTAAAAAGCAAGAGTGGGAATCTGAGAGGGAGGGTAAGGGGGGAAGTGCCACCATGTTCCTAAAACTGTTATATGAAATGTATGAGACTTCTGTAACTTAAATAAAATTTTAAAAAAAGAAAGTGGAGTCTGTGGGAATGCTGGTGTGGGCTGATGGGAAGTAGGGATCCATAACAATTGTGAATTCCTGTGTTTATCCTGACATCCTTTGTATTTTGCCAGTGCCTATGTACTGAGATTTTTAAACACAGAATATTACAGCTTGTCATGGGAGGAGAGTCCGCCTCGGGACTGATCCTAAAATTTAGTGTCATCTCATTCCATCCACTTCTCACTTGACCCAGTATCTCCCATACTCACATATCTTTGAGGGATCCCACATTGCTTTAACAGCTCCTTCCCCTGTTCCATTGAAAGAGTGTTGGGGCCCATTGTGGATGGTGCTGGCCAAGGGCATCTGCTTCTCTGTGGAAATAGAAAAGGAAGCCACTGGATTCTTATACCCTGAATTTCAACTAGCTTCTAACAAGTCACTGAGTACATTGAAATAAAAGATAAGTGAATAAAATAATGTTTGGACACCCTAAGTCAAAGGCACCATGGCCCCATTATTTCTCACTAGCCACCCCATCTAAATCAGAATTTTAAGAAGAAATGTTGACCTTTATCTAATAATGGACATTTCTGATATATTGTTTGAATCAGGCTCTATCTTAGGAAGTATTATGAAGCAGTTAACTAATCCTTTCCTCAACTCTTAAAACCACTTTCCATGGATTCCTCCCCACTCCTATTTTTCCCATTTAATACACCAAGGCCCAAAACTATAATGGAAACTCACTTATTCCCTTTCTGGTGGTCTGAGATTGCTCAGGTGTGTGGCACATGGGCAATTCCTCTGGAGACAGAGATGCTTCCTGCATGACCAGTGAAGAAGTAGACTGAGGGGAGGAGCCATGTCCTGCTGGGCTTTATACTGTCCCATGACCCCAGGAGTTGATCACATGACACAACGTAATGCCCACAACTCAATTACATTGAGAGGATTATCACTCAGGCCTCTGATCTGGTTAACGACTTTATGTAATGCTACTCCTATTTAGCACTTTTCATTTTAATGCATATGTGTGCATTTAAACAACACATTTTATTTTGGTGTTTGCCATCCCCAATGTTTTTAATAAATTTAATATGTAACTGTTCCCTGGGGTGGAGCCAAGATGGCGGAATAGTGAGGGCGCGCACCAATAGTCCGGGAAAATTTAGTTTAATAAAAGCGGAGTTACGGTAGCCTCAGAAAAAGGATCAGGAAAAAAAATTGCAGAGGAAACTCTTCTGGAGCTATTCGCTGTGACTCAAAGGACCTACTGGGAGAGCAGGGTCGCCCACCACGCGGAAGCCAAACTGCGGGAGCCACAGAGTCTGAGCGCCAGTGCGGGAAGGGCAGTCTATGTGACAAAGACACCAGCGGGGAGAGGAGAGATGCCCAGGGCTCCGAGTCCACATATCGGTGCTGGAAGCGGAGGTGAGCTCAGTAACCAGAGACATTGGCAGGGAAATGGCGGACAGAATTTTAGAGGGACGCGGGTTTTGAAGTGGGAAAGTCCAACAGACTGGCTACAGGAGAGAAGGAAAAATAAATAAATAAATAAATAAATAGGTGGGGGCATACTGGTACAGACAAGTTCCACTCTCCGCCAACCTTGCAAAGGCTAGCAAGAGACAAACAGCTGGGATATACATAATAAAAGGGGAGAGTTAAGGCTACAATTCAGTAGCCTAGGCAACCCAGTGGGAGTCCACAGGAGAAACCAAGCCTGCACAGACTCTTTGGGTAGAAGCCAGAGATTGGAAGCTAAATACCATCCATTTTGCTCAGCCTTGCAGTATTACTTACCTCCTGAACAAAAAATAAAATAAAATAAAATAAAATAAATAAATAAATAAATGAAGAGAGATTTACCACGTATAACCTGAGGGTGTCACCTTTGCACACCTGTAATCCTGAAGAACCAAGCAGAGCTCTCAGGCCACACCCATCTCAAGCCTCCAAGGCTCCTCCAGCAGCAGGCAGTCCACTTAACACAAACATAGTATATATAAAAAAAACACCTCACAGTGAGGGAAAAAGAATTAATCATGCCAAGCAATAAACACAGAAATCGAGGGAACAAGATCAACGATGAAACTATGATGCCTCCAAATAAACAAAACACCCCAAGCCAAGATTATGAAGATGATGAGATAGAAGAAATGCAAGATATGGATTTCAAAAAATCTATGATAAGAACATTTAGAAGAAGGAACATTCCTCAATACAATCAAAGCAATCTATGAAAAACCCACAGCCAACATCCTATTGAATGGGGAAAAGTTGGAAGCATTTCCACTGAGATCTGGAAACAGACAGGGACGCCCACACTCACCACTGCTATTCAATATAGTTCTAGAGGTTCTAGCCAGAGCTATTAGGCAAGAAAAAGAAATTAAAGGGATACAAATTGGGAAGGAAGAACTCAAACTATCCCTCTTTGCAGATGACATGATTCTGTATTTAGGGGACCCAAAGAACTCTACTAAGAGACTATTGGAACTCATAGAAGAGTTTGGCAAAGTAGCAGGGTATAAAATCAATGCACAAAAATCAACAGCCTTTGTATACACAGACAATGCCATGGCTGAGGAAGAACTTCTAAGATCAATCCCATTCACAATAGCTACAAAAACAATCAAATACCTTGGAATAAACTTAACCAAAGACGTTAAAGATCTCTACGATGAAAATTACAAAACCTTAAAGAAAGAAATAGAAGAAGATACCAAGAAATGGAAAAATCTTCCATGCTCATGGATTGGAAGAATCAATATCATCAAAATGTCCATTCTCCCAAAAGCAATTTACAGATTCAATGCAATCCCAATAAAGATACCGAAGACCTTCTTCTCAGATCTGGAAAAAATGGTGCTGAAATTCATATGGAGGCACAAGAGACCTCGAATAGCTAAAGCAATCTTGTACAACAAAACAAAGCCGGAGGCATCACAATACCAGATTTCAGGACATACTACAGGGCAGTTGTAATCAAAACAGCATGGTACTGGTACAGAAACAGATGGATAGACCAATGGAACAGAATTGAAACACCAGAAATCAACCCAAACATCTACAGCCAACTTATATTTGATCAAGGATCTAAAACTAATTCCTGGAGCAAGGACAGACTATTCAATAAATGGTGCTGGGAAAATTGGATTTCCACGTGCAGAATCATGAAGCAAGACACCTACCTTACACCTTACACAAAAATCCACTCACCGTGGATTAAAGACCTAAATCTACAACCTGACACCATCAAGTTACTAGAGAACATTGGAGAAACCCTTCAAGATATTTGCACAGGCAAAGAATTTCTGGAAAAGACCGGGGAGGCACAGGCAGTCAAAGCCAAAATCAACTATTGGGATTGCATCAAATTGAGAAGTTTCTGTACTGCAAAAGAAACAGTCAGGAGAGTGAAAAGACAACCGACAGAATGGGAAAAACTATTTGCAAACTATGCAACAGACAAAGGGTTAATAACCAGAATCTACAAAGAGATCAAGAAACTCCACAAAAACAAAACCAAAAACCCACTTAAGAGATGGGCCAAGAACCTCAATAGACATTTTTCAAAAGAGGAAATCCAAATGGCCAACAGGCACATGAAAAAATGTTCAAGGTCATTAGCAATCAGGGAAATGCAAATCAAAAGCACAATGAGGTTTCACCTCACCCCGGTTAGAATGGCTCACATGCAGAAATCTACCAACAACAGATGCTGGCGAGGATGTCGGGAAAAAGGGACACTAACCCACTGTTGGTGGGAATGCAAACTGGTCAAGCCACTATGGAAGTCAGTCTGGAGATTCCTCAGAAACCTGAAGATAACCCTACCGTTCGACCCAGCCATCCCACTCCTTGGAATTTACCCAAAGGAATTTAAATTGGCAAACCAAAAGCAGTCTGCACCCTAATGTTTATTGCAGCTCAATTCACAATAGCTGAGACGTGGAACCAACCTAAATGCCCATCAACGATAGACTGGATAAAGAAATTATGGGATATGTACTCTTTAGAATACTATACCGCAGTAAGAAACAACGAAATCCAGTCATTTGCAACAAAATGGAGGAATCTGGAACACATCATGCTGAGTGAAATAAGCCAGTCCCAAAGGGACAAATACCATATGTTCTCCCTGATCGGTGACGACTGACTGAACACCAAGAGGGAAACCTGTTGGAGTGAGGTGGACACTATGGGAAATGGTGGCTTGATCAGCATAGCCCTGACTGTTAATGAACAACTAAATACATTATCTCTCTTAGTAGTTTTTTTTATCTGTTCTACTTAATATGACTGGTTTAGATCTGTAATTGATGCACAGTTATTCTTAAGTGTTGAAAATTAACTGAAATGTGATCCCTGTTGAACATGGTGGTGGGAATGGGAGAGGGAAGAGATGTATAATTTGGGACATGCTCAGGCTGACTTGCCCCAAGTGGTGGAGTTGGAAGCATACCAGGGGATTCCAATTCAATCCCATCGAGGTGGCATGTACCAATGCCATCTCACTGTTCCAGGTGATCAGTTTCAGTTCACAGTTGGTCATGGTGAAGGGACTGGGAGTCAAAGGGAGCACATAGACAAGTCTAGTACCTGCGAACGCTAACTGATGGAGTAAATAAAGGGGAGAGTGATCCAACATGGGAAGTGAGATACTCAGCAGACTCATAGAATGGCAGATGTCCTAAACAGCACTCTGGCCTCAGAATCAGCCCTTAAGGCATTCGGAGCTGGCTGAAAAGCTCATGAGAGTATTTCAGGCATGGAAAGCCAAGACACTCTGGCAAAAGATCTCTGCGAGTGAGATCCCAGTGGAAAGAACAGGTCATCAAAGAAGGAGGTACCTTTCTCTGAAGGGAGGAGAGAACCTCCACTTTGACTATGACCTTGTCTAAACAAGATAAGAGTCGGAGAACTCAGAGGGCTTCCATATCCTTGGAAACTCATGACTGGAGCATAGGGAGATTACTGATGCCATAGACAGGAGTGTCAATTGGTAAAGTCAACAACAGGAGTCACTGTGCACTTACTCCTCATGTAGGATCTCTATCCTTAATGTGCTGTACATTGAGATTTAATGCTATAATGAGTACTCAAACAATATATTTCACTTTGTGTTTCTATGGGGGTGCAAACTGCTGAAATCCTTACTTAATGCATACTAAACTGATCCTCTGTAAAAAAAAAAAAAAAGAAATTATCAATTCCCAACTTGACTCTCACTGGGATTAAACATGACAATAGGTCTGCTCTGATTTCATCATTATTTAAAAAAAATCATCTATTATTTTTCACTTTATGTTTCTGTGTGGGAGCAAACTGTTGAAATCCATACTTAATGTATACTAAGCTGATCTTCTGTATATTAAGATAATCGAAAATGAATCTTGATGTGAATGGAAGGGAAGAGGGAGTGGGAAAGGGGAGGGTAGTGGGTGGGAGGGACGGTATGTGGGGGAAGCCATTGTAATCCATAAATTGTACTTTGGAAATTTATATTCATTAAATAAAAATTAAAAAAAAGAATATAAGCTCCATGAAAAAAAAAAGTTTTCAAAGCAAATCCTTGAACTACAGAAATCCTTATTGGACAGGATTGAAAATCTCTCTCATGAAAATGAAATTTTAAGGAAGAATCAAAATGAAACGCAGAAACTAGTAGAG